CGACAAGGCTCGTCACGCACCGTTTTCGTGCCTAAAGAGTGTTAGTTTCGTGTTCTGGGGCTTATGGCGACTAATGTCGTACATAATTCTAAAACTTTGCTTCGACTTCGAAAAATATGGATGTCTATGGGTGCTGTGAGCCCCTCTTAGAAGTGGAGTTGAGGTTAAAATCCAAGGCCTCATGGTACCGCAATAGTGGCTCTTCCCTGATCGGCCCACATTGCCTTAACAGCTATTTAGCTTCAGTCACAGACTCTCCGGAATTTGTTTCGAGCGTCACCTTGCCAGCAATATTCACACTGCTTTGATACCATATCGTTTCCAAACTGATTGCGACCTGCCTCTTCTCTCTTCTGCCTTCTTCTATTATTTTTTTTACAACAGAAAGCAACACCTCCCGTGAACATTCCGTACAAGAATGAGTTCATCACTTCACTCTGATCATATCATAATCAGGGCACATCATCGGTTGGGGATTTTGTCGAGCCCGTACGACCCTCCCCCCTTTCTTTAGGGGTTAGGTGCGACCCCCCACCCTTTCACGGTTTGGTTTTTTTCGCCTTACTATTTGCGTCTAGTAGGCAGGGGAACTCGTAAAAGAACGTCGCGTGGGGGCCCTCTTGGCGAGGGACTGCCTGCAGAACCTACCCACTTATTTTCGAACGTCTAACATCAACTGAGGGTGGTGGTTGATAATGATAAGGAAGCATTCTATGACCTCTAACGATCCCTCAATCTTTGGCACGATTCTCAATAATAAGTTAATTCCCTGAGCTATCAGTTGGACACCATAGCTTCTGATTGTACATTTTATTGGCGATTCCATGGGAAGCGTGGTGCGCTCAGAAAGTGTCCCTTCTACGACTCCTCCGCAAAGGATGGTGACGCGGTGGGCTATGTGAGGAATCTATTTTTCAGTGGAAATTCAAAGACACCATAGTTTGTGACCTTCGAAGGCAGTCATTGCCATGTGCGAGTCGAATATTTCCTCTGCTGCGGTACCGTACCACTTTCTTCACTCAACAGTGCAGGGAACATCAGGGGGGGGGGTAGAAAACCCGGTGTGCCGTCCCCCAACTGCGCCCTCGCCATCTTCAAGGTGCAGCAATAGCGTTCATGCGAACTGCGAAAAAAAAACGCAAAATGTCGAAAAGAAAAGCAGGCCTAGCCAAG